CCGGTGGGGAGAGGTTACAGCAAGCCAAGATTGTGCCACTGCACTCCAGCCTGGGCGACAGAGCGACTAAGACTTTGTCTCAAAAAAAACAACAAAAAACCTCAAAAAAGGTCTAAAATGGTATTTTCTTACCAGCATACTATTTTTCTATGAAACTGTTTTCCAATTTTAGAAAATAGATTATTCAAGCTTTTTTGAATTTCATAAAATAAAAAGATACACAGTGAAGTTTCCTTCCCACCTATATTCCCCAACTATTCAGTTCCCATCAACCTCCCCAAACAGGTAACCATTGTTATTAGTTCCTTGTTTCACCTTCCAGGAAATCTGCATGCATCAACCATCACTTCCTCTTTCAAAAAACAAGAATGGGAGCAAACAATGCACATTTTCCTACAATTTGCTCTTGTAACAAGATATTTTGGAGCTCTCTCCTTGTCAACTAAAAAAAGAACTTTCTCGTTCCTTTCTACAGCTTTATAGCCTCCTTCACCATCTGGGTAAGGATTTCTCTGTTAAGTCTCCTGCTTGCTGATGGACACTCAAGGCAATAAATTATCTTATACCTATGTTATCTCACACATGTACAAATATATCTGCAGGTTAAATTCCTAGAACTGAATGAGGAATCAAAGGATTTATACACCTGTAATTTTTAAAGCTACTGCCTAAAGCTCCTGTATCTATCAGGGTCCACTCAGAGAAACAGAGACATCCAGAGAAACCATCCCTTTAAGAATCTGAGCCAGGCGTGGTGGCTCAAGCCTGTAATCCCAGCACTCTGGGAGGCCAATGTGGGCAGATCACAAGGGCAGGAGTTCAAGACCAGCCTGGCCAGCATGCTGAAACACCATCTCTACCAAAAATACAAAAAAATTAGCTGGGCATGGTGGCATGCGCCTGTAATCCCAGCTACTCAGGAGGCTGGGCTAGGAAAACTGCTTGACCCCGGGAGGTGGAGGTTGCAGTGAGCCGAGATCATGCCACTGCACTCCAGCCTGGGCAGCAGAACAAGACTCCATTTAAAAAAAAAAAAAAAGAATCAGAAATAGATGGAATTTAATATAAGGTATTAGTGACAGGTGTGATGGAAAAACTGAAAAGGCAAACAGGAAATGATAATCCAGAGATTAGCAAAAGCAAGCTGCCGTTACCACTTCTCAAATAGAGGGTAAAAGGGAGGGAGGTATTTCCAAGGCTCAAAGGCGAGGTGGACCAAGGGGCAGAAGCTAGAGCCAAATGGAGACAAGGCAACTGCCAGAGACACTGCCTGAGGCAGATCGAGGAGAACTAACCTGTTTTCATCCTTTCTCCTGCCAATCCTCCTGCCAGTGGCTCCCAGTGGCCAATCCCAGCCAGAAGCCAGCTGACCAAGAGCCTGGGAAATATTGCCTGCAGGGACTCGTCCCTGCAGGGAAAGGGCAGGAAGAAATGGATCTGAGCCAAGAGGACATGGCCTGGCCTCGCCTCCTGTGACTAACTTACACTCTTACCCGTAAATGTTTCAAATGGCCTTGCCAACAGACTTTTCACACTTGGGGGTTACTGCATGTCTGAAGGTGAAAGGTGGAAGCTCAATCTAGTCTTAATTTGCATGTATTTTATTATGAACGAGGCTCAGCATCGCTTCACCTGAAGCACAGACCTAACCCTCACTTAACTGATCAAGGAGGGAACAAGGTAGGGAAAGGAATGCCAATTAGAGTTAATTCAGCTCATCTGCCAGGCATGCTCCAGCCCAAACAGGGCACGAAGACAATGCCAAGGAGCCAAACTAGCCAGTCACCCTCCATGCAGAGACTTAGCTCAAGAACTGTTCTGGAAAAACTGAAGGGCAACAAAGCCCCAAAGGAATTAAAAATGCCTTAACTTCACTCTGCACACATTGTAAGGAACAATGTGTTCTTGTAATCTTGTACCCCCCACTTGCTCCTCTTGTAACTGCCTTCCAGCCATTCACACCACCATCCTCTCCCTCCTTATCTTGCATTTAAAGAACAAACAATACAGTGGACAAAAAGCTAAATTAACTTACAAAAACAGCAAGTAGGAATCAATTTTTCAAGTCTTTTAATATGACCATTAACAAAAAAGACCTTTTAAATTATCTTTGGCCTCTACCATAACTACTGTTTGAATAGATTATTTACCTTATCTTTTAAACAAGCTGAAACTGACTCCCACAGATACAGTTCAATGTTAAGTATTACACTCTAAAAATATACCAAAAAGTGTTATGCTTTATCATCTGCTGGCAACTGAAATGGTTTTCCATCAGGGAGCTGAACTTTATTTTTTTAAACATGAATTTTAAACCATTTTTTTAAATCTAAATGGTATTAACTGTAAAGAGGTATGTTAACTTCAAAACTTCCGACTGCCAAGAGTTAAATATAAGCACATCAAGTTTATACAATTACAATGACTCATATTTCAAAACTTTGCTTTTCACCTGTTTCAAAAATACTTATCCTAAGACTGCTAAATATATATATATGTATATATATATATATATATTTTTTTTTTTTGAGACGGAGTTTCACTCTTGTTGCCCAGGCTGGAGTGCAATGGCATGATTTTGGCTTGCCGCAACCTCCACTTCCCCAGTTCAAGCAATTCTTCTGCCTCAACCTCCCGAATAGCTGGGATTGCAGGCATACACCACCATGCCCAGCTAATTTTATATTTTTAGTAGAGACAGGGTTCACCATGTTGGTCACTCTGGTCTCGAACTCCCGACCTCAGGTGATCTGCCCTCTTCGGCTTCACAAGGTACTGGGATTACAGGAGTGAGCCACCGCACCCAGCCTACCAAAAATATTTTTAACTGTCTGTCACAAAGCAAGGGAGAAAGCTATTTATAAACTAAATCGATAAAAGTTAAAAGTTATTTTCCAGCACCTAACATGCTGGCTGGCATTTTATTGGGCAATCAATAAATAAATCTTCATTGTTGAATGTTCTGGTGAGGTGAATTAAATAATACACTTAAAACATTCATGTATTTCATAAGAGTTTTGTTTTTCAAATCTGAAATACACGCTTATTCCAGAAACTTGGAAAACTTGAAAAAATAAAATAATCCATAATGTCACCAGTTTTTACATTGTTTAACTGCTTATTTTAATGGTTGTAAAATACTTGAATAAACTTCCCATAATTTACCTCACCATGCCCCTACGGTTGGTATTGCTGTTTTCAATGTTTTGCTATTACAAACAGCATAATACATCTTTATACAGGAGGGTTTTTTTTATTTATTTCAAGGTTGCTTCCCTGTGATATATTAACAACCCAAGGACAGTTTTAAGACTTTTGAAACTTAATATCATGCTTTGTTATACCATTCAAGATCTGCAAATTGCTAGAGCACACTAAAGCTTCCTTTTTTTCCTCTCTATCCCTGCTTTTATCTTCAAGTCTACATTTCTTTTCTGAGCCCAAAGCACTTCACAAAACAAACTGCCAAGCCAGCCTGCCTTGACTCTAATGCCCAACGTCTGCATATTACAGTTATTTGTCCTTCTTTTCTAACAAGAGAAAACTGCTCTGCCCAAATTATGACAGGCAGGAAACACGACCTCCACCGGGAATCCATTCCTTAGGATCTCGCTCCAGACAGACAGCCTGACTTTAGGAGGGTTTGCAACTGGGCTCCTTCGTTCCACAGCGCTCCCTTTTCATAAACACACCCACGCGGTGCCACAGTGCTACCCCTAGCTTCAACTATGAGAACTGAACTCGCCAAATGCCATGACGGGTGCCAACTTCCCACCATCCTGGCTGCATCGCGTCTATCAGCAAAAAAAATCTCCCTCTGAGCAGCACTTGAATTCTAGAAGGCACCTTGATGATGAACCACTTCATCCTGAAGCATTCAATACTGCTGATTCTTACAGGCAGCTGCTGCGGCAGCCTGTAATTAAGATTTCTCTAAACTGCTCCCTTATTACATGGGGTTCTGATGATTCTGATGATTTCTCTGTCAGCTCAAAGGAGATCTTTAGCTCAAAAAAGCCAAAATTGAAAAAAGTCTGGAGAACCTCAACTTCGTCTGTTCCTGTAAAAACATAGGCATTAACCCTTTGCTTTCCAAAGCGAACAGCCACTCCATACAGACAGGCACGTTCTTGTTTTTAAAATCTAATTTGCAGCATGACCCAACAGTCATTTGTATTCCACGAAATAATTTCCAACAAACACGATCCCTCCAGCAAGAGGAAACCGAACATCAGACACAGACCACCTGGGGCACGTCGGGCACCGACCCGACCCACTTGGGAGCACACCTGGCTCCGAGCACACCTGGCTCTCCAGTCTCGCCTCGGTGCTGGGTGCAGCTCGTGACCCCCACCCTCCGCTCCACCGAGTTTTTTTGCTCACTCTGTCGCGTCTGCCGTTTCCTAAAACGCCTACCCCAACCTGGACTCCAGCTGGCCCCCTACCCGTTCGAGCAAATCCGGCGACCGTTTCTGACCCAAAGCCAAGCAGCCTGTCACGCTTTCCAACCGTTCCCCCTGCCCTACCCTCCTGTACCCCCGAGGAGCCCCCCATGCCAAACTTTCCCCTCCCGGTTCCCCACCGGCTCAGCTGCTTCCGCCCACCTGAGCTCAAAGGGGGCGTCCGAAACATCGGGCTCCAGAGGGCGTGGACGCCCTTGGCGACAAGATGCGGGGAAGGTCGCCCCACAAGGTCCCCCGCCCCAGAGGAGCGACCCCCGAACCCCGGCCCGAGACTCCGGGGTGACCCCGACCCGCGGTGGCCCGGGCCTGGTACCCGGACCCTCGCCAGCGCTGGACGGCGACCCCGGCCCGCCGCTTCCCTTGGGCCCCCAAAAGTCCCCGTCTCAGCCCCGGCCCGGCGCGCCTCAGGCCTCCAGCGGGCGCCGCCGCCGCCCCAGTCCCAGTCTCCTCAGGAGGACCCCGGGCCGGCGCCGCGCCCGCGACCCCCAGCCCCCGGCCCCAGGCCGCCGGCGAGCCCGCCACACCTCCGACACTCACCGCCACCGCCCTCGCCGCCGCCGTCTTCATCCATCTTGAGGCCACTCCCGCAGCCGGCAAGCCCCGGGCGGGCGGCAGAGGGGCCGCGGGCGGGGGACGCCGCCAGAGGTAGCGTGAGGGGAACCAGGCGGCTCCTCAGCGCGCAGCCCAGGTCGCGGCCGGGCCTCCTCCCGCCGGGCGGGGCCTCGCTGGTCGGCGTGCGGTCACGTGACCGATCCAGGCCCCGCGGTGGGCGGGGCGTGAGGCCGCACGGCCCCGCCCTCGGGAACTGGCCGGGCCCGGCGGCGTCTGCAGCCGGCGGAGGCTGTAGACCCGGCCCTTGGGGCGCCGGCGGACCTGGAGCGCGCGAAGCGAGGAGTCCTCGCCCTCAGCCTTTCAGTAGCCTGCGAACGGGCGTGGGGCCTCGGACACTGGAAAACCACATTCTGCAAAACCCAGTGGCCAGGAGTGTAACTTGCACGTGCACTCTGGGTAAAAGATCAAGAAACGAACGCATTCAGAAGTCAGACCTGGCCAGGCTTGGTGGCTCATACCTGTATTCCAATACTTTGAGAGGTCGAGGTGGAAGGATCGCTGGAGACCAGAAGTTCGAGACCAGCCCCCGTAACATAGGGAGACCCTGTCTCTACAAAAACATATGTTTAATTACCCGTGCATGGTGGCGCGTGACTGTAGTTCCAGCTACTGGGGAGGCTGAGGTGGGAGGTCACGTCACTTGAGCCCAGTAGGTCGAGGCTGCAGTGAGTTATTGCACCACTGCACTCCAGCCTGGGTGACAGAGTGAGACTGTCTCAAAAAAAAAAAAAAAAAAGAAAAAGGTCAAGCCTTCTCCTTCCTAAGATATGCATGTCAGAATAATTCCAGCCTTTCAGCTGTCTCATATATAATAGAGCCTCTCCTTCCCTGGCGGTGAGTGCATTTTTAAATTAACAAAATGCAGAGCTTGTAAATGAATGTTGTCGGGAGGCTGGAACGGAATCCCAATCCAACACACCTGGGGCTCAGCCCTCAAAGGGCATTGTAGGGGTTGGCCAATCTGGCGGCAGATGCCCTTGGAGTTTAGCGCCAGTCTTCCTTGGAGAACTGCCAGCTGCCCTGGATTTATGATGCAGAAGGAGCTCTGAATTCAATTTCCCTTGGGCAAAGCCAGGGTCCTCAACGCAGGCCTCCTGGGCAGAAGGCCTCGGCTGGCCCCTGCTCCACATCGATGGATCTCTTCTCTCATTCCCCATATCTTGCTTCCAGTAACTCCTGAAGCATTGCTTGTAGCCTCTCCCAAGCCTTTCTGCTGGAACTAAATTGTATTACAGAAAAGCAAACATTGTAATGGAGGAGATAGTTCATCTCTAATATAATTTTCCAGCAACTGTTTTATATTTACAAGCTGTCCATTGAACCAAAGGATCCTTCCGTTGTCATCTATCAAAGTGGAATAGCTGTCACCTTTTTTTGGTTCAAGGTTGCGGGATGATTTCAGAGTTCAATCTCGTAATAACCTCAAGAATTAAAAACCAAGCATTCTGGTGCAACCAAAGCCACGAGGGACACTTTTTTTTTTAAGACAGTGTCTCGCTCTGTTGCCCAGTCTGCAGTGCAGTGGCTCAAATGATCCTCACACTTCAGCCTCCCAAATAGCTGGTACAGGCTACCACACATCCACTAATTTTTGTATCCTTTTGTAGAGAAACAACCTTGCCATGTTGCCCAGGCTGGTCTCAAACTTCTGGACTCAAGCAATCCTCCTACCTTGGCCTCCCAAAATGCTGGGATTACAGGCGTGAGCCACTACACCCAGCTGAGGGACACTTCTGCATGCAAAGATGTTTACAGCCTGAGTGACAAAGACTCACCAGAAAAGGGGTCCAGGGGTCAGGAGATGTAGGGTTCAACTCCCAACCCCTAGACTAGGCTTCCTGATCTTGTTCCCGTCAGGCTTTGTTATCTTGGAGATAAGAGCATAGTTACTGAGAAAAAAGGACAGCACTACTTTGAACTTGATAATGAGATAGTGGAGCTTTGAACTCAAAGATACTATCAATTATAAATGCTTTTTCATGTCAATTCTTTAGGTGTCTTCGAATGTGATCCACAGGTGCTTCTCTCGGTTTTTTTTTCTTTTCTTTGAGACAGAGTCTCTCTCTGTCGCCCAGGCTGGTGTGCAGTGGCACGATCTCGGCTCACTTGAACGCCTCCTGGGTTCAAGCGATTCTCCTGCTTCAGCCTCCCAAGTAGCTGGGACTATAGGCACACACCACCATGCCCAGCTAATTTTTTGTATTTTTAGTAGAGACTGGGTTTCACCATGTTAGCCAGGATGGTCTCGATCTCCTGACCTCGTGATCTGCCCACCTTGGCCTCCCAAAGTGCTGGGATTACAGGTGTGAGCCACCGTGCCCAGCCTTTCTCAGAGTTTTAATCTGAAAGTGGCTTATCTGATCTCCATCTAATCTAATTTTCATCAGACTAAAACACAGCCCAGTTACATAAGCAGAATATTATATTATCCCCATGGGTTAGCCTGAGCCTGCATTTCAACAAATTCTGCAAAAACATTGTGAGGATAAAGTCTTTGGGTGTCATTTCTGCTCTTTAATGGAGAAACTGGAAGACTTCAAAATCTTCACAACTCAAAGGAATTAGTATCTAAGAGGAAAATTAGATATTTTCAAAAAGAAGTGCTTTTCAGGATCTCTCAAATCCCACCAAGATAGCAATGATCTAATCTGCTTCATACATATTATCTCTACATATAGGAACATTAAGTATTTTAGTTACCCACTAAGACAGGCACTCACTTTATGCATAGTTTATGAGTGGTTTGCTCAGATGCTGAAAGCTTTATAAGTGAATTTGTAAGGATAATAATCCATGCAGCTAGCATCGCTCCAGAATCACAAGTATGAAACCCTATTATTAAATTGTTGCAATCATTTGGTCAGATGACAAATATTAGGTATTAGGTACCTCCTGTATTCCAGGCACTGTCTTAGGTGCTGGGAAAACAATGATGAAAAAGATAAATTCAGTCCCCAGCTTTATGGAACTGATGGCCTAGAAGGAATACAGCCATTTAGCCATTTAGCAAATAATTATTTAATTGTAATTTTTTTTTTTTTTTTTTTAGAGACGTGGTTTCACCATGTTGGCCAGAATGCTCTCGATCTCCTGACATTGTGATCCACCCACCTCGGCCTCCCAAAGTGCTGGGATTACAGGCATAAACCACTGTGCCTGGCCTTAATTGTAATTTTGACATCTGACTCTATAGACTTTCTCATAGTATTTACTGTTTCATGCAAATGGGCTTTGTAGCCTTAAAACTGCTTCGGGGCCAGGCACGGTGGCTCACGCCTGTAATCCCAGCACTTTGGGAGGCTGAGGCGGGTGGATCACAAGGTCAAGAGATTGAGACCATCCTGGTCAACATGGTGAAACCCCGTCTCTACTAAAAATACAAAAAATTAGCTGGGCATGGTGGTGCGTGCCTGTAATCCCAGCTACTCAGGAGGCTGAGGCAGGAGAATTGCCTGAACCCAGGAGGTGGAGGTTGCAGTGAGCAGAGATCGTGCCATTGCACTCCAGCCTGGGTAATGAGCAAAACTCCATCTCAAAAAAAAAAACTGCTTCAGGGCTGGGCATGGTGGCTCATGCCTGTAATTCCAGCACATTCGGAGGCCAAGGCAGGAGGATCACTTGAGCCCAGGAGTTCAAGACCAACCTGGGCAACATAGCAAACTGTGTCTCTACAAAAAAATAAAATAAATAATAAATGACTCCTGTAATCCCAGCACTTTGGGAGGATGAAGCAGGTGGATCGCTTGAGTTTAGGAGTTTGAGATCAGCCTGGGCAACATGGCAAAACCTGGTCTCTACAAAAAATACTAAACATAATTAGCTGGCCATGGTGGCACAAGCCTGTAGTCCCAGCTACTGGGGAGGCTGAGGTAGGAGGATCGCTTCAGCCTGGAAGGCAGAGGCTGCAGTGAGCTGAGATCACACCACTGCACTCCACCCTGGGTGACAGAGCCAAACCCTGTCTCAAAAAGTATATATTAGCGGAGTGTAGTGGTGCATGCTTGTAGTCCCAGCTACTTGGGAGGTCAAGTCCGGAAGGCTGAGGCTACAGTGAGCTGTGATCAAAATACTGAACTCCAACCTGGGCAACAGAGCAAAAGCCTATCTCAAAAAAAAAAAAAAAAAAAAAAAACAAACAAACAAAAAAAAACTCCTTTAGGACAGAGACTGTAGTCTGTATTTATTCTGTCTCTGCTGTCTGCTGCAGGGTGTGGCCATGTCAAAAAAAATAGTGAAAACAGTAATATTTGTTATGACTACTGGATGAACAGGGCCATCAAAAATGGAAAACATTTTGAAAGCATGTTGAAACCCATTTATCAGCCTTTTGACCACTGCAGAAATAGTTGAAGAAATCAAGAATGTGAACATTCCGGAAAGGTCAGAGGACTTCTTTGTACATTCATCTCATCCTCCAAGTAGAAGTCTGTGAAATCACACAGAAGTATCCTCTCCGGGCGCTGAGGGTCCCTGCCAAGGACAGTTTCTTGATATTTGGCCATAAAGAGGCTTCCTTAGCTGCCCAGGCAAAAGCTGCTCCAGACCCTGCCCAGAGCAGCACTCTTGTCTCCCCTGATAACAGTTAAGAAATGCAGGCACAAATGTGACCGTCAGCAGATGGGGACATCAAATAATCTGTTACATCGGCGATCTGGCCCAGTCCGGAGAAGACACGCACTGTGGCCAGCTCACAGTCAGCTCACAGTTATGAAAGGAAAGAAATGTTTTCTGCAACCTAATTTCATCTAGGAAAGAAAACATCTCTTTGGAATGGAGATGATCTTGTGCAAATTAACGTGCGGGCAAATGACAGGGGTTTATGTGTCAGGTCACATCCTTATTAAATTTTCAAAAGCCTAGACATTCCAACCTTCACAATACCCTGTCTCTCTTTCCAGCCGTTCAACGAAGTCCACCTCGGTCTTATTCTTCCTATCCCCAGAATAATCCATGCAATTGACATCAGTTCTCTGGCCTCACATTACCAAGGACAGCTTAATTCCTTTCAGATTGATTAGTGACTTGCATTTTTGTAAGAACAAAGGTAGTCAGATTTCTCTGTGGTAAACTTGG